TATATATACAATATATGACTTAGTATATATCAATTTGTATGAAACTTGGATGACAGAAACAAAAGGTGCACAATGCAAGTTATCATTTTTATTTTTATGCACTGTGATATTTGTTCAATTCATATTATTATGATATGGCACATTATGCTATATATCATTCTATTTTATTCTCTAAAAATAGTAGTTCTGGACTCACTAAGTGGATCTCATGACCCCTTGGGTGGTCATCTGCAGTTTGATCTAAGGACCCCTTCCTATCTGATCTGTCTTCTGTGACGTCCATAAATACCTGGTGGTTTACGTTCTTTGCTTGGTCGCTGAAATCATGAGTGCCATTTTCAGGATATGTAAACACTGAAGGAGACAAGAGAAAGCAGATGCTTTATGAATCCAATCACTATAACTTGAAAAACATGACTGAAGGTTGTCACTTTATTTCAATGCATCATAGCTTCTACTTTATTGCTCATTGCCTTTTCCTCATCTTTCCTTTCCTTGCTTTCATGTCCTCTCCCATGAGATGTTTTTCTTGCCTCCCCATGCAGCACTCTGCATTATGTTCTTTGGGCTCCCACAACCTCTGTACATGCCTGACTGGCACTTGTCCTTTGCATTGGTGGAGAATTGTGTCATTTGGCAGGTTTCTCCTTAAAAGCAGGAGCCATGCCATTCATCTTTACTGAATGTATCAAATCCCTTATGCATGGGATGGTGGATGAGGTACAGTTCAATCTAGTGCATTTAGTTACCTTTTCTAAATGTCAGATTATTTAGTCTATATTGAATATCTTCATTTTAGTTCTTTAATGATGTCTGTATTGTATTTTAAGGATTAAACCTTTATTTTTAAACTTCAACATATTTCCCCATTCTCTTACTTTCAATGGATTATGGCTATTATATGATTTTTCTTTTAGTTTATTATTAGAATGTATAATTCTTGTCCTTTTGCATTTAAGCAGCCATTCTTGGGCCTTCATAGGGAACAAGCTTTCTCAAAATGGACAGGAGTTTCCAATGTCCACATGCATAGCTGTGGAAGGTCCCTGAATGAGACAGAGGTCTCTGCTTCAGCTAACTTGATCAGCCAGATTGACTCCACTGACCAACATCATAACCTTATCCTTCTCACCAATTGTATCTTCTTTAAACAGAATGCAGAAATGTTTCCAAATTTATATGATAGAGTTGTGGTGTCTAAACTAATCTACCATTTCGATGACTTGGGATTTTAAAATAACACATTCCTGCTCTATTCTTTCCTTTTATTTCCCTTCAGATTATGAAGAAAATATCACTAAAGGGAGAGAAACATCATGGGATGCTCTATAACCTATTTCATTAGCATGTTGACAATCTCTACTATTCTTAAAATAGACTCAACAACTGTGAGGTATAAAACACATTTCAGAACATGAGCCCCTGGAAAAGTACAGAAGCTTATTAAATTTCTATTCTACTCAATTTATAGTTCCAGAGTTCATGGGTACAATTCCATTATTCCTAGGAAAGCCATATGCAACCATTGGCAGGGCTCTGGTTTGTGGGTAACTGGAAGACAAGGCCCAATTCCACAAGGTCTGTGTTACTATTTGGCTACTCAACTTGGTGATTACCAGTTTAAATAGGGTAGAGACCAACAATGCCTTTATCTGGTTCTGTGTAACTATCTGAAATCCTGGTGTAAACACTTGATCTTATAAAACTGGATACTTCTAAAAGAATATTAAATATTTGAATGGGAACATGTCAAAAGAATCTTCCTAGGAAATTCTGGGTTGAATAAAAAAGGGAAACTACATAAGGTGTGCATGTGGTATTCAGTTTAGACTGACTTTATTATTTCACATTATGTTAGCTTTATTTTTGAATATCCATTATGTCAAGGACTTCAAAATGTATACCATTTTTGTGAACTATGTTGAAAATTATTTGAAGTGACCTTAAATGTGCTTGCAGATGCATAATTACAAACAGAACTGGAAGGCTGCAAAAAGATTTTTAAAATCTACTACTCCAAGATATTTCTAAGACTTTGAAGAAAGAGGACAAAAGTGAGGTAACTATTTTATTAAAACATTTAACATATATCATTTATTTTTGGTGTTTTAAATTCTTTCATGAAAAAATTTGCTGGTTTATTTTAATACTTATAGTAAATATTCAAAAGTATGTCCATTAATGCAGGTATATTTTCCAAGGCAAAATAAATCTTTAATTTTTGTCTTGTCCTCAGAAGACCTTATTCTTTTCCATGATCTGTCTTTCTCTTTTACTCTACTGCTCTGTGAAGTCCATGTTAACTGCGTTTTCTGAAATGACTATTTGAGTTTTTCTTTTTTAACCTGCAAATGCAGCGAATTATATAACTTAATTATCTGATATAGACCCAGATTTGAGTCTCTGATTTACGTCTTTGTTATCATGCAATACCTTTTAAAAATATATTATTGGGTTCAGTTTACTAGGATTTTGTTTCAGATTCTGCATCTGTATTTAAGAGGGAGACCAGCCCGGAGCCTTTCTTTGTCTTTGTTTGGTTTTGAAGTCAGTATTGTAATAGCCTCGTAAACCAAGTTAGAGGACGTTCCTGCCCTTCCTCACTGTGGTATCCTGTTTGTCTGAAAGAGCTTATGTAATCTGGAAATTTTCTATCTCTTAAATGTTTGGTAGAATTTACTTATAAGGATGTATGAGCTGAACATTTTTATTATGCAAAATTTTAAATATTGATTCAGTTTTTATAAGGTTAAAACAAATCTAGCTTTTTATTTCTATTTCTTCTGGAATCAGGGTTTAGTCACTGATATCTTTCTTGGTATCAGCCCTTTTAAAAAAGAGTTTTAAAGTTTATTGGCATGAATTTTGTTATGGTATTCTTTTATTATCTTTTTAATCTCTGCTCTTCTCCCTTTTTTATTATTGCTTTTTTGTTTTCTCTAATATTTTAAAAATTGTTAGAGATACAAATTTTATTATTTTTAAAAATATACTCAGGATTCATTAATCTTTATTAGAAATTAATAAAATTTTCTTTATTATTGTTTTTTGGGTTTATTCTATTTCATTTTCAGACTTCTTAAGTATGGTACTTAGATTGTTTCTTCTCAGATTTTCTTTTTTTTAATAAAATCATTTTAAAGCTCAATTCTGTAGTCACAATAATGCTATTCCTCAAGCTATGATATATAGGGTTTTGATTGTTACTTAGTTTTAAACATGTTCTGATTTTTGTTATGGATTCTTCTTGACACATGAAGTTTTAAAAAGTGTGTTAAAAATCTATCGAATTATTGATTTTTCTAGATATCTTCTGAGTATTGATTTTTACCTTATTTGTACCATGGACAGGAAGATACATCTATGTTAACTATTTTGTAATTTATGAAGCTTGTTTTATGGTTAGAGAGTGATAACTTTTATAATTGTTCCATGTGTTCTTAAAAAGGTGAATCCTACACTTTTTAGATGGAGGGTCCTTTTTGAGTCAATTAGATGAAGATTGTCAAATGTGTCACCAAACCCTCTATATCTATACTGAACCCTTTTTTCTGACTTGCCAATGTGTGAGAGGCATGTTAAAATTTTTTACTATCAAGGAGAATGTCAATTTTCCTAAAAATATGGTCAACTTCTTGAGTCTGTATCAGTTTGAGGCTATGCATTAGACATACACAAATTTAGAATTTATAACTTCTGATGAAATGAACATGATCATGTAATGATGCTTTTTATTTCTAGCAATGTATTTTGGGTCCTAAACTCCATTTTTCACAAATTAACACTGTTATATAATTTTTCCTTTGTTTAATATTTGCCTGGGTTAATTATTTTATTCCTTTGTATCTATATCTAAAAAGTTTTCTATTTGTGCTATATTTTTATTTTTTATTCCTGCAAAAACTTAAGAAAATTCTTTTACTTTTCAACTTTCTATATCCATATGCTTTAGATACTTATTGAGAGTATATGGTTTACTTTAAAGTCTAGTCTGAAAACCTTTTTCTTTTATCTACAGTACTTAATTGGCTTGCAGTGATTTTGATGACTGATAAATTTGAATTCTTTCCTAAACATTTTATATTTCCTATTTGTCCTAAATTTTCTATGCTTTCACTTCTATATTCCTCTTTCCCTGCTTTTTTTTCCTTCCTACTTTCTTTTGAATTGATTGGCTTGTTTCTCCTTCTCATCATTCAGTTTTGTTTCCTCTCTAGTTTGCATGGTTTCACCAATTTTTTTATTCTTTGAACTTTTATGAAGCATATGTTAATGCAACCTGAACCGAAATAAAATTTTTAATCTCATCCCAATAATATGAGAATCTTTGAAATACCCATTTGCTTTTTACATACCAGTATTTTAGATAATATTTTATTAGTAATTTAATTTGTATGAAGCTAATGTTTGCGTAGATTTAACTGCGTGTTAATCACTTTCTTTGTTCATGATTTGCTCTGGCTTCTCAGTAGTTTTGTTAAGGTTTGCTTATATTTAGTAATTTGATTGTCAGCACATGGTCTTTGAACGTTAATCGTTGGAAGTTTTTGAGGTCTGAGTTTAAATTCTCTTCCTCCAGAGAAGGTTTGCATTTGCTTCTGCTAAAAGCCTGCTGATCTAACCATTTTTGGCATTTTAAACTAATTTAAACAGAAATTTCATATTATTTTGCTTTGCCTATACAGGTAGTATAAGTTCAGACCCTAAACAAAGAAGATTGTTTCCTTTTTCCTTCCCTTCCCTTCCCGTCCCCTTCCTTCCCCTTCCTTCCTTCCTTCCTTCCTTCCTTCCTTCCTTCCCTCCTTCCTTCCTTTATCCATCCTCCCTCTTTCTCTTCCTCTCCTTTCCTTCCACCCTATTGGCTGTTTCTGTCTCCTCTCCTTTTTTTTTTTTTTTCTCAAACTGAGTTAAGGCTGGTACAACATATCCCTCTGAAAGTCACTAAATTCTCCCAGTGACATGAAGGGTGCCTTTTGAGCTATCAACATTTTCTCAAAGGGCCCCTCATTTAACCTGCTACACCAACCCCAGTTTTTTTGTCATTGTTCATACATGCTCCAGGGTTGTACGGTGATAACACTGGTCTTCACCTGCTTATGTCTCTAGATTCATACTTTAATGTCACTAGTAAATTCTAAAGAATTGTCTTACTTTACTGGCATGCATTAATCAGAAATTTCTTTTTCATTCTCTTTCACAATAGTTTTATGAGTGTTAAAATGGAAAAAACCCATTTTCTCTGAGAATCCATTTCACCATATTGCTGGAAAGATACTCTTCAATGTTTTCAAAGAGATTTTTACCTGGTCTAGAGAATAAGTGTGTAATGTGGGAACACACTACTAAGTATTTAC